CTTTTAGCCCCACAATCCTACAGTTACTGAAGTGAAAAAGATAAAAGAGGAAGAGTGGGACGAAGGGAACCAAAGTCAAGTAAGACTGGGGATAGAGGGAGAACAATGACAACGACGACAAATCCACAAACCCACGATGGCAGAACCACTGCTCCCAGCACTGAGAAGCAAGCCCGAAGTTGCTAGAGGTGAAGCAAGAACGACTGTAGGGCTACAGCAATGCTGTGACGGCAATGGAGGCACACACTTGAGACACGAGAGGGCGGACACACCAGAGATGACACGAGACGACAATCTGGACAGAGCACAAACGAGATGTTGGAATGGGGGAAATGACGTTTTTTTTTCTTTTAATTTGAACGAGGGGCAAAATCATCATTTCTTCAAAATTTCTAATGCTAGAAAAATCTCCTAAGACCCCATGAGAATTATACTATTTTAAGGGATCCCTCTGTCAATTAGCTAATTTAAATAGACTTTGTTGTCATTTTCCCTATATCCAAACATTGTCCCACCATTTGTCTTAATTATTTTCTCATGTATATGAATTAAAAAACATAGTAAAAAAATAATATTGTTTTTGTGCGGGGCCTTACATCTCATTTTTATACTGATAATCTGTTTTTTTAATATATTTTTTGAATTCATCGGATATCCAAATTACATCCGTTCAACCGATAAATTAACATCTTTCCATTTCCGTTTTCTTGAGCATCCCTTTCAGGGATGTGTACTTTCAAAAAAATGTCTAATAAAAAATATGATTGGTCATGTTAAAGGAATAAAGGTATCATGCGATGAAAGCTCCAAAGTCTTCAAATCTTTGTGAATGTTTTAAAAATTAAAAAGAATCAAGCCGCACTAAATCTAAAAGTCTCCCTTGCAAAATATTTTTAATTTCAAGTCTCCTGCCGTACTTTTTTTTCAAAATAATAAAATAGACAAATGGGTTACAAGGTGAGGTAGGAATAGCGTGTGTGTTCTTTTCCTACCAATAATATTGACTGAATGATGAAAATAAAGTGTCATAGTAAAGAATTGTTAGTTCAATCTTTGCCACTAAGTTTTATTTGTTCATATTCAAAGTTTAATCTAACTTCATAATTCTCACACACACACACACACATATATATATATATATATAAGGTTATTAAATTCATGAGTTTAAATAAAGTTAATGATTTAAATAAACTTGTAATAGGATGTAACCTTGAATCATAAACTCATAAAAGTTTAACTTTATTAATAAATAATTATTAACAATATATAATTAAATAATAAAAATATAAAATATGATTATAATCTAATTTAAATAGATTTTAAATAAAAATTATTGAAATTAAATCCACCTACATTGTTAGAATATTATCAAACTCAACATAGAAATTTTAAAATAAGATAACTTTATTTTGGTATTTTCTTTTTTATTAATTTTTGTTTTTGCTTTCTAAGTTTTATTTTTCTTTGACTCAAGTCCTACCACTTCTATAAACGAAGTTCTATACAATGGCTACCCAATTCATTTAACTTGGTGAAAATTTGAGTTTAGTGAATTTTACTAAGTTTATGTGAAGTCCGAGTTAATAAGTGAGTTAGCATAATTTTATAAACTAAAAAAGTAAAAATAATAAAACTTGAAAAGTCAATTGGTAAATTTAATTGAATTTGTATTTAACTCAAATTTATGAATAAGTTGACACGATCTTATAAGTTTAAAATGTAAAAATGAAAAATTGGATAGTGAGAGTTTATCAACAATGCATACATATACTTTTGTCGGTCATGGCATCGAGGATGATGAAAAAAAAAAAAATTAAAGATCTATCACTAGGGTATGAGAATTTCGCAATCTCATATTTGATTTGATTTTATTGTCCTATAACACTGCTTAGTCCGTGACTTCGTCTTCCAATATATATATATATATATATATATAGTGCATAATTAAAAAATTAAAAGAAAAGAAAAAGAAAGCAGGAGAGTCAGAATGGAACACGACAAGAAAAGAGAAAGCTGAGCAATATAGATGCACTATCCAAAAGGAACCTGGATCTGGTGATGTTGCAATTGTTAATCTGTGTAATATATAACATATATGTATATATAGCTTTGCAGAATATTAAGAATAAATGCCATTTTTAGGTTTCATAAATAGGTTTATATTGAAGATTAAAAAGGAGGGTGGCTCTCGCTTTCGGCATTTGAATTCTCCATTTGTTCCTTTGCTTTTGACATTCAACGTATCTTCAATTGTAAGTTTGTTTTATAGCAAAATGTAGAAAAATAAATGATTATATTGACAATTTATTTTTCTATGGTCTTGAATATTTTTTTCTTTCTGTACCATAGTACCTCAAATTTGGTTTAAACAAAATCTTAATTTGTGCTCAATTATTTTAATTGTTATCTTATTTTCCCTTTTTTCTGTTGTCTTCTCAATTTCAAAGGAATAAATACTTATACTTAGGTCTATCATCTTAGGCAGATATTTGAGAAAATTTATCCGGTATTTTAAATTTCAACAAATGAGCCCGAAGCAAAGTTTCTAAAAAGAATAACCAAAAGTTCTAATAAAAATTAATGTCTTATTTGGTTAAAGCATGAAAAGATATTCTTGTTGCTTTACTTAATTTAATGTTTATTGTATTGTTATTTTTGTTATCCCATTTGTTATCATAAAAGATCTGGTTATTTTATTCTTTTTTTTTTTTTACATTTTTGACAAATCATGTGTCAAAAGAAGCCCATAGGTTTGAGTTCCCCCCCCCCTCTCCCGAATACTATAAATGTGATTGGACTTTGGTACTGTAAAATATTGTACTCCCTTCATTTTAAATTATAAAATATTTTTAAATAAAATTTTATATATTAATACAACTTATTAAATATATTTTATAATTTTATTTTTTTAAAATAACAACATAAACTTTTAAAAATATCTTTATTTAATGCTTCATTGATGAAAGAATAGTGAAGAGAGAGAATATATAAAAAGAATTATATTAGAAAAATATTAATAATGAAATTTTTTATTTATTAAAGTGTCTTATATTTTGAAATGTTGACTCTTTTTTTAAAAGTGTCTTATAATTTAAGACGGACAGATTGTAGTTTTGGAGCCTTTCTATTAAAGAAACAAAACTAAATCATAGATTTATTTAGCAATTAAAACGACAGCTGGATGATTAGTATTATATTAATACTTTTAATACGGTAATTTTGAATTGAAAGTGAGGAAGATGACAAAGTTAATATGCTAAAACCTAACACTTAAACTTTAGTTGCATTCACATGGAACTGAAAAGTCTGCTTTGAATATAATTTTTTATGAACACCAGTGGAATATCCATCTGGATTAGACATTACATTAATCCCTTATTCTTTCTATCCAGAATTTATCTCTCCAGTTGATCATATCAATTCTTTCCATGCCATCTCTGATAAACTTACTATGTAATGGAACAAATGCAATCCCAGCTATATTCTTAAATAGATTTGCTTTCTGAAAAGATGGAAAAAGAAGTCAAGCTACATACGTACGTATAAATTTTTTGAAGTTGAACATTTTGAACTCCACGATGAATAATATCATTAGAGTAAATAACGAATCATCGAAATGTGAAAGTAAAAAGAGGTCATTAAAAAAGCCATTCATAGGATTGCATACTCCTCTCAGTGTAATTTTAGAATGTCCCGACTCTAATGAACGGTTGTGTTCGTCAAAAAAAAAAAATCAGGGCATGGTGTTGTGAAGCAGGTCAGAGATATAAGGTCTTAAAAGGATGGAATAACTTGATTTCTAATCAAACGTGAGAAACTCAGGCTCCCTTACCACAGTTCACCAAGATGTGAGAATAAAAAATAAAGAGAATTAATGTAAATGTAAGAAAGCAGAGATACATTAATTAAAAAAAGAGGTGGTGGGCTATGCCGGCCGTACAAAAAATAAAGACTAAAATTATATGATAAAAAGAAAAATAAAATAAAATAGCATATACGGAATCTGAGACTAATAAGTTATTGATGCTCATGATAATTGTTGAGAGAAAGATCCTCTATTTATAGATGATCCTAACTTACCCAAGTTTCATGATTGTCACTTTTCTTAAATTTAGAAAACACTTCCTCCATCGTGATCACTCATCATAGATGATAGTTTTGACTTAATGGCTAAGATTTCATAAATATTTTTTTATATAATTATTTTAAAATCAATTAAGTTGAATTAGATCCAAGCTTCTAAATTTATAATTTGAGTATAGACATGTTACCGTAACAAAAAGGTTTTGAAAGGACATAATGACTCGGTTATAATTTGTTTAAGGTGCAGGATATGTCTTCTTTAAGAATACGTGTGTGCATGGCAAAAGTACGCTTCAACTCAATCAAAAATTCAAACAAATCAAGCGGCGGAGAAATGCAAGTAAAGTGAAGATAAAAAAATGGAAGAGAAGTGGCGGAGGAGACAAAAAGGATAAAGAAGAGAACATGCATGGTGCCAACATCTTGACCCATTTCTTTCTTTCTGTTGTCCTTTTCTTTCTTTCTTTCTTTCCCTCTCTCTTTCCATTTCCTTTCTCTTCATTTCTTTCGGTTTCATTCATACATATATGCTAATTAGCTGCCAATGATTCTTCTTGTCAATGAGGATCATTGCGTTCTCCTACTTTAATTTCATTTTAATTTAATTAATTAATTAATCCCATTCACTTATTTATTTAGCAAGAGTTCATCCCACCAAATATCGTGATTCATGAGTGATCCAACAAGTTCAGAATCTATCATATTATCTGTGTCAAATGAGCTGCAAGTGCAGTAAGGCTATTATTCAGACGACGACGACACCGTAGTTAAAAGGTGACAGCATATTCGTTGTGATGTCATACAGATTCATTTTATCTGGTATACAAGACAGAGAATAATGAAATTTGAAAAGACGACGCAAATTAAAAAATTATCGACCACAACTGTAAAAGATGCTTATATCTATAGAAGGCCAGTTTAATCATGTAAACTATTATTATTCACTGTCAACAATGCCAGAGGTGTTATCTTCATTTGGAGAATGACATGACGTGCACTTACAACAACAACAGTACTTAGCTTGGTGCCTTCACTATCAGTATTCAGTAGATCCACAAACAGCACTTGCGCTCAACAAATTGTGAGATCATTCCAAATTGTAACGTGGCTTAGATGCCATTCATATCCCTCTAATCATGCCTCACTGCTTAATCCACAATCATACGTATCACACAAAAACAAAAAACACTCGATATCTAGCCTTCACAACCTCATGTAGAAAAGGAATCAACCCTAAAAGCTCCTGCTCCACTGGGTATATTTGGCACTATATATCCTTTTCACTTTCACACACCCATGCATGTTGAAATCACGAGTCAAAAAAGCAGGTGAGAATTATTGTTGTTCTTTGGGATAATCTAAGCCAAGAATTTACAAAAGCTATATATCATAGCCTAGGCCGCCTAACTATACAATTCGCCACTTCTGCAAAAACTATGCTCTCTAAGTATTCCATTTAATCTCTCCCTCTCATCATCCACTCAAGTCTAAGTGACCATCAACCATTGAAAAGCTGAAGTCACCTTGAGATTCCTCACTTGGATAACCCCAAAAAAAAAAACCCAAAAAGACTAACTCATGCCATTCGAATCTTTACGAAAAGAACAAAAATGTTTTGTCAATTCAGTCATTAGAAGATAATTATCATCATTACAATAATTTTTTTCTCTAAAAGCTAAATTGACAGAACTTGTTTTTTTTTCAAAGCTCAAATTATAGTGTACTTGACAATGACATTAAGTTATTACCTACGCTTGTTTAGTTTTTTTGGCCAGCATGACCTCACCCACCTACACTTTGAAAATCTGGTCCTCCCTTGCTTTGGATTCCACACGAGCTTCACCACTCTTTTGAATCAGAGAACCATCTCCTTCTGCATCAAAGCTAGCATGGACACTGTAAAGGACATAGACAAGCACTGCGAAGGCTGAGAAGTATCCAAACCGAACATAGGACGGCCGGTCGAGGGAGCCTAGCAGGAACACGTTCAGAAAGATCGAGACAGAGGGAATCCATGGCATGAGAGGTACGCCCCAGAATTCTGGCTTGCGTGCTTGGGGGACCATGCAGTAGAAAATGTTCAACATTGCAATGGTAATCACACCACATGCAACGAGCATTCCTAACTTGGCCCTGCCGGACGGTACAAATTTCCAAATGAGGGTGAACATGAGAGAAGTGAAGGACAGGGAACAGAGGAAGGACAATGTAGGCCATGGATTGGTTGTGCCGGCCACCACATAGCGCCTATAGATCACAGCATTTGCCACCATGTAAAACACAAAGAGTGTTCCAATGGACACCAAGTTCAGAAGGACATCTAGATCGGTGAAAAGGGCGATTGCAGCTGTTAAGATCCCTGAAAAGCAGATTATGTGCGAATATATGAGAAATTTCGTGACTCTTGAATGCTCAATCATGTATTCAAACTATACCACTCAATGGCCTAGGGAGAGAAATTAAAAGAAAAGGGCATGTGGGGAAGTCAAAATGTCCTCAGAGCATAAAGATCATGGCAAAAACACATCATTCGAAGGCCAACTTTATATAGTAGCTGCACGAAGAGGAGCTAAGCTAAGGTTATCATCATCAGTCCGTGATTCCAAATTCCAATCAAGAGGAATATTTAACTCGCACAAAAGTGGTGGAAGAACCAATACAAACCACTAACCCCCTGCATGTGAGATTCTTTATTGTTCGTCTAAACGGATTTTAAAGTGATATAGCGTGACTTATTCGGCACACTACTTTCCACCAATAAGCCATTAGCCTCTTGCTTAGTCTTTCTAAGCTACGCACCCATACATTTCTAGTTGTCACCGTCCTTGCAACTAGATCCAGAAGAAAACAACACTCTTGCGTTTTTTATTAGGTGTTCACAATCAGATTCTTTTAACAAAATGATACAGTAAACACTGTAGTAAAAAAATTAGATAATTCCATCCTTCTATAATTATGCAAGACACCATTGCTGAATATCATATTCATGTTAAGTACTACAAGGGGACCATCCCAAAGAGTATTGACAAGGTCGTAACGGCTCCATGAAAGCATGTGATATCCATCCTATTCCGTGCACTTCCATGAAGATTATGCAGAAAATATATTCATTATTTAATTAATTTGATGTGGAGTTTTGTCAATTGTAAGACTACCTGCTGCATCTCTCGCCTCTAGCTAGCAAGAGATTCTTAATTCTAACTCTTAGAATAACCATTAGAAATCACGTGAAATCGACTGACTTGGATGATATTTGAGCATTTACAACTAGGAAATGAGAAAATACCCCCAATCAAGTGATAAGGATCAACATCATTATCAATTTGACAGGAGGAAGCATGATGATATCTGTTGACATTAATGACAAAACCTTGGTCTTATCACTACCAACAAGCTAAACCAAACAACATCCTTCAGCGCACGATGAGATCGTTCAAGTGGGTCCCACACTTGATTACAAAAAATCAAGACCATCTGCAAACAAAACATCAATGGCCAGTACTGCTAATAAGCACAATCGCGATCGAAGCCACCTCTAAGCACGATCGCAAAGGAAAACCATAAGCACATATTATATTTGAGAACTCTTGCACTGATCGATGATCAAACATTTATGGTGGACTGGATTATGATTTATGGATACTGCTATAACCAAGTTGTGGGCAACGTACCAAGAAAAGCGGAAGCGTTGACAGGCGTGGAGGTCTTCGGGTGGACCCTAGCGAACGAGGGAGGGACCACGTTGGACCGCCCGATCACGCACATGTACCGAGCCTGACCCAGCATCGCCACCAGCAACGACGTCAGGATCCCGAAGCTGGCTCCCAGACCTATCACCTTCGAAACCCATCCCCAGCCGTCCGATTTCCCACTGAACGCCGCCGAAAATGGCGCTTCCGTATCGATCTGCGTTCGGATCCGGATCACACCAGATTGTAGTTCAAGCCATCCGTCAAATATTTTAAAGCAAATTTAACCTTTTTTTTCTTTGTTATAATATTATTCTCCATTTTGTTCATGCATTCTGAAAAAATGGGGACTTTACTGGCTTAAAATTAGGACAAAAGTTCTCACAAATAGCGGGATTAACCTTATTTTTTTTCAAAGAACTAAACCTGATAAAGGTGAAGATTCCATAACCAAATACTTCAAGTACGAATAATTTTAGCACGATTGTTAAGTCAAAAAGTAATTAAAAAAACTGATGATGCCTAGGTAATAATTTAGTCAAAAAAAAAATTGATAATTACCACATCGTAAGGGAGTAGTTTGGACATTGAAGTGGCCATCAGACAGTAGAGAATTGTGACGAGGACGACAGATCCTGACACGCCGATGGGGATATCTTTGACGGGGTCTCGGACTTCTTCGGCCATAGTCGAAACGGCGTCGTATCCTATGTAACTAAGGTAAACCATGGCTGCCCCCTGGAACACCCCCGAAGCTCCGTACGGAGAAAACCCGGATGGGTTTGCCGGGTTGCCCGGCTCCTTAAAGTTCTTCCAGCTCCCTCTCCAAAAGCCCATGAGGATCACAAATGCTATGAACAGAATGTGCAGCGCCGTCAATACCAAGTTCACCACTGAACTCTCCCTCGTGCTGCGCAAACAATCGTCGCAAATCAAAATCAGATCAAATTCTTATACGAAAATGATGGAGCGAAGGAGATTCATTGTGCTCTAATTGTATTCATGTAACTGTATTTATTGCGTTGTGTTGCGTTTCGTATTAGTGTTAATACGTGATATCTTTGGTGACGTGAATCACCTGTAGCAGATAATGAGGGTGATGAGCAAAACGACGGCCATCGCGACGATGTCTATCTTGTTGAAGCCTTCAGGTAGAGAGTGAACGGTGAACCTCCATTTTGCGGTGGAGACGCCGATCGCAGTGCCGAAATAGGCAGTTAATCCTCGGGAAACAGCGGCATTTGACAGTACATAGTCCATCACGAGGTTCGCACCAGTAATAAATGCCGCGAACTCTCCTGTCCGAAAAATCGAACGGAAATGGTTCAGCCAGGGAATCATATAATAAATATATACATATATATATATATATATATTTATATATCTTATCATGAAGATTAATCGAAGAATTGAATAAGAGTAATGAGCGCTAAGGTAACGACGATAATGATTGATGAACAAACCGAAGGTGACGCGGAGGTAGCTGAACGCGCCGCCGGCGACCGGCATGTCAACCGCAAATTCGGTGTAGCAAAAGGCGGAGAGGAGGGAGCAGAGGCCGGCAATGGCGTAAGAGATAACGACTGCGGGTCCGGCATAAAGACGGCTGGCCCTGCCGGTGGTGACGAACACTCCGGCACCGACCATCCCGCCAAGTCCAAGGCCAACCAAATCATACCACCGAAGGGTCTTGCGCATGTCGGAACCCGAGCGAGCTCGCACCTTGCTCATCTCGTCGTAAGAAGTAGAGACGGAAAGAGCTCGGCGAGCAAGCCGAGTAGGAGTGTGAGAGAGGGCTCGGAGGTAAGCTGGGAAGCTGGAGAATGACGAACTGTGGCTTGCCATTAGGCCAGTCGGTGGCTTTCTGTGATAGTTATGGAAGGAGAAGGAGACGATGATGGTGGTGAAAAAGATGGGCTGCCTATAGTAATTTATAAAGGCTGCGTATAACATAAAAATAAGTGGATTCGGAATTTCGGGATGTGAAGTTTCTTTTTTCATTATGGGAGCATTTTATTTATTTTTATATTTATTTATTGTAAATTATTTTTTCCTTTTACATTTCCCTTAAAAATATATAAATTATGTTTCAGGGGATTGGCTCGCTCCTTTTACTTTTCGTTCCACCGCTTTTTTCACCTCCTTCCACTCGCTTTTTACCTACGTCTCATTCGTTACACTTAAATTTGGACAACTTTTTTATTTATATTTTTCTCACTCTCTCTTTACTACACATCTCAACCATATGATTAAAATTTGAATCATTCAGGTGTAATGTTTTTTAAATGCATTTCTAAAAAGTTTAGAACAAGTTTTAGCAATTTGAATTTATTTATTTATTTATTTTATAACTTTAATTTTAATAATATTTTTTAAAAATTTTAAATCTATATCGTTCAAATTTTTACCGATTTTTTATATGTGAAGTGGAAAGGAAGAGGGAGGAAAAGGAATTACAGAGGCGGAGTCGACTTCAATTTTTACACAACCACTTTCTGAAAACAAATTCACGCTCTAAATACAAGTTATTTTACATTTTTTTTTTATATTTAATACTTCTTTCGGGATGTGTTTCTAAATAGACACCGTTAATGTTAATTAAGATTAAATATAGAAACTTATTTAATTTTAAGACTATTTTAATGATTTAATGATTAACTTTTTTATAGTTTCAATGAGATAATTAAAAAGAACTTATATTTATGATTCTATGCAGTAGTACTTAATTTTTGTTGATACTCCTCTAATCCTATTTACAGTACACAAATAAAATATTTATTTTAGTATTATTTATAAAAAAATTATAATTTTTGTGTTTATTTTTGTCCTTTTATCCCTATTAAATGTTGGAAAAGGAAAGTTATTAAATGTTAAAATATTTTATTTTTGATGTATAAATATTTACAAGAAGTAAAACTGAAAACTTGTTAGATTTTTTTAACAGAATTAATGAAATTTAATGTTGTACTTGATTTTAATAAAATATATTAAAAGTAATTTATAAATAAATATGAAGTTCAGGAGAATATATTCCAAGTTCCCATCTAAACTGGCCATTTAAAATAGTCCCCAGGGCGAGAGTCACATAATTCCCATTGCTTTTATCAGATCTGAAATTTCACTTTTTTACTACTCAATCACCCCATTTTTTAGGCTTTTTTGGTAAAATGTGAATACTAATAAAACTAATTACATATAATGTAAAATCTTAATTTCTTTAAAAATTATAAATTCTTAAAAATAACTTCCATTTAATAATAAAAAGAATAAGAAAAATATTTAAGAAGTGACATAAAAATGGCTAATTCTTTTTTGATATGAGTTTTATCAATTTTTTTTTACAAAATTGCATCTTATATTATGAAATACCAAATCACTCAAAAAAAATCTTAAAATGACGGTGGAAGTACCTTGAATCAAATATTAAATTTTACATAGAAATGCAATGAGACGATTAAGTAAAACAAAAGGCGAATTAAGACACATTTTTTCCATACATGAAAGCAAAGAAGATGAAATGAAATCTACATTATGAAAAAAATTTGTTTTCTTGTACACTTTATTGTTTTCCATTTTTGAGTAAAAATCTAAATATAACAATTCTCAAAGTTTATAATATGCCCAAGAATACACGAAACGGGAAGAAGACATTTATTACGAAGACTTTTTAATGCTGAAAAAAAGTTTAAAACTCCCTTGCGGCTGAAAAACAAAACGGTGACGCATGGAAACTTGCGCGGGATGCACAAATGTGTAGTAGTTAGGTATTTATTTTCATGTAAAAAAAAAGAAAAATTACACCTAATTCTCAAAAAAAGAATTTATTATTAATAAATTTTATCACATTTATAAAATACTCTCAAATGTTAAATTCTGTGCATTTATAACTTGAATAAGTATATTTATAATTAGATAATAAGTATTTACAACTTACAATTATAAATTGTCATTTTTCTTTGTAAATTATAAATACATAAGATTTTATATTTAAAAGTATTTTATGAATTTTATGAAATCTTTTGATAATAAATTCTTTTTTGTGAGATATAGATGTAATTTTTTTTTCAAAAAAATGTTACATTGAAAAAAAAAAAGCATAATCTCTGAAGAGAAATAGAATAAAATTTCTTAATCACTCTATTTTATCTTAATGGAAGGCACTATAACTCTTTAAGCATGAGGTCTGAGTTTGGGTTGTTAATGTAAAAAATATCTTTAAAAAAATTACTCCCAATTAAACTTTCCAATACTTCAATCTAACCTAACTTAAAAAAAAAAATCATTATACAACTTTTAAGCAGGATGTTTTTACACATGTTTTACAGAAATATTTATTTAAATCGATTGACACTTGGCAACTTCCTCTAAAACTCTAAATTTGAACCAATAATTTGACATATATTGAATGTGACCTTATACATTATATGCTCATTTATGTTAATCTTCTTAACTTAATTTTAAAGTATGAATTTTTTAAATTTTTATATATGTTAATAAATTAAATTATGAATAGTATGATATAATTTTTTATAAAATTTAAATATTTATTTATGCTGATTTCCCTATCTTATATCTTAAAACAAATTATTCCCTTCATTTCAAATTGTAAGACACTTTTAGGAGAGATTTAGCCTTCCAAAATATAAGATACTTTGAAAATATTAATGTTTCATTAGGCAAGCTTATCTAAATATTACCCTCTTTCTTTTTATTTAATTTTTGTCCCTCTCCCATTTCAATATACTCCATCCGATTCAAATTAGAAGACATTTTTTGCTAGATCATCTTGATTTAGAATATAAGACACTTGGTAGGTTTTAAATTTTTTTCTATTTTATGCTTGTATTTATTAACTTGGTTTGTTGTGCAGTATTTATTATATTTTTTACACTCTTTATGATAGCTAAAACTTTATTGATTTATAAGAAGAATCATGCTTTCTTATGTTATAATACTTCATTAAGAAAAATAGTATCTCTCTCATTTAATTTATTATTGACAAGTGAGGGAAAGGGTAAAAAGAAAAACTTGTGATATTTTTAATTGAAAATAAGGATATAACTTAATTTTATTAGTATTTAAATTATAATTAAAAATGTCTTATATTTTGATCTGGAGAGAGTATTAAATAATAAAAATTATTTTTAAAAATTTATATTTTTTAAAAGAAATAAAATTATTAAATATATTTAATTAAATTTATTTGTATGTAAAATTTTATCTAAAAATATTTTATAATTTGAGATAAAAGAAATATTTAATATCTGGCCAACAATACATGCTCATTAAGTCAAAAGGACTCAACCACATTATCAAGGCTAGAAAAATAATATTTGCAAAATATAAAGTGTTATTAAATAATATATGTTCACAAAATACAATATATTGAAACAAGAAATTGTCTTGAATATGGTATGCAGTTCCAATGATGGTCATAATAACGAGAGTTGACCAAACTAATGTGCTATGTATCAAAACCATAAAACTGCGGTCTGACTTATCCATTATATCAGAACAGATAAAGTCAAGGATATGATAATATATATATATATATATATATATGTTCTTCAAGTTCTATTCGTATCGTAGGAGTGAGAGAGTATTTATTTGTATTTTATTTATATGACACTTATATAATTTTTAAGTCTAACTTTATCTTGTCTTTATTAAATACTTAAAAAATTATTAAATATTAGAGTATTTTATTTTTAAAGTATGAATATTTAATAGGAATAAAGTGAAAATTTTGTTAGATTTTTAGACATAATTAATAAAATTTAAGATTTTTCTTAGTTTTACTATAATATATTAAAAATGATTTATAAATAAGGTTGAATATGTAAATTGCCAGATGCCAACATATATACACACATGCTCAAGGTTTTGTATATAACTGTACACAGAAACTTAATTATTCATTACATCAAAACAGGTTTAGCAACTTGATCAGGATCATAAGCTTACATATGCCTGAGATTTTTAATTATTTTCATACATGAGATTTTTTTATTACGTTCTTTTTTATTATTATATTTTAATAGCAGCAAGACGCGCGAGATAAATGTTGAAGCAAATCGCAATTTCGTTGTTGATGTTGTTGTGGAGACCCTTATCCCATAACATCTATAACATTAATTCTTGAATCATATATCTTGCTTAGGGGTGACACTTTTTTTTTTGGCCATATGAGATAACAAGAAATTCTTAGGTGAATTAAATGCATCATGTCATTTATGATCTGTCCAATAAAAATATGATATTTAAATTATATTAGATATAATCTGATTTTGATATTAATGATAGTAGAGAGAGAAAAGATAAAAAATTAAATTTGTATTCTATTATAAAAATAAAATTAATTAAAAAAAATATCACAAAATTTATTTAAATTATTTAAAATATTTTAATTAAATATATTATAAATAATGTGATACATTCCATTTATTTAAATATTTTTTGTTAAAATAAACGTAAAAGCAACAGAAATTTAAGGCGTGCAAAAAGTAAGGTTGTTGCTCCTGTGCATGAAATGTGGAAAAAAAGAAACCATTAATAAATGCAGAGGGAGCCAAACTTTGAATCAGCGGTGCGTCTTTTCTATATTTCCTGCTTCCTTTGCTTTTATTTATAAAGTAGAGGGAGAAAATTTTATTTTTTATTTTATTTATAAATTATTTTATTAGATTTTTATTATAATTTTTTATTTTTATTTTATTAAATATTAAAGAGAGAAAAAATATTATTAAAATTTATATATTTAATAAGAATAAAGTTGTGAAATTATTAAATTTTTAAATAGAGTTCACAAATTTTAAAGTTTTTCTTAATTTTTACAAAATATATTAAAATTGGTTCGTAAATAGGATACGAGGAGCATGTTATATCACTAAAACTTAGAGAGAAAGAGACTAGTCAA